CAGTAAAGTATCTGGATACAAGGTCAACACACAAAAATCAGTAGCTTTCCTCTACATGAACAACAGACTCTCTGAGACAGAAATAGAGCTAACAATTCCTTTCACAATAGCATCCAAAAAACTGAAATACCTAGGAATCAACCTAACAAAAGAAGTCAAAGACCTCTTCCCTGAAAACTATAGCACTCTGAAAAGAGAGATTGAAGAGGATATAAGAAAATGGAAAGAAATCCCTTCTTCCTGGGTAGGAGGAATCAACGTAGTGAAAATGGTCATACTTCCATAACTGATATATAGATTCAATGCAACCCTAATTGAAATCACAGCAGCATACTCTATGGACTTTGAGAAAACAATCCAAAAATTCATTTGGAACAAGAAGAGACCCAGAATAGCAAAAGAAATTCTAGGTAAGAGAGATATGGCAGGGGGTATCACAATCCTCAACCTGCAACTATACTACAAAGCTATTGTGATAAAAACACCATGGTACTGGCAAAGAAACAGACCTGGGGACCAGTGGAACAGATTAGAAGATTCAGAAACAACATCAGACACACTCAGCCACCTCATCTTTGATAAAGGAGCCAAATACCCTCACTGGAGGAAAGATAGCCTCTTTAATAAATGGTGCTGGAGAAATTGGGTTTCAATTCACCAAAGACTAAAATTAGACCTATATCTCTCACCATGCACTAAACTAAAATTGAAATGGATTAAGGATCTAAATATTAAAATAGAAGCACTGAATCACCTGGAACAGAGGTTAGGTAGAACTCTTCAAGACACTGGTATAGGAAAAAATTTATGAACAAAACCTCACTTGCCCATGAACTACCACAAACAATCAACAAGCAGGATCTCTTCTTACTAAAAGCTTTGCACAACAAAAGAAGTCACCAACAGTGGAAAGAGACTATCCACAATGTGGGAAAATATTTTCACCTTCGGTCCCTCAGACAAAGATCTACTATCCGAATCTATAAAGAACTTTAAAAAATCAGACCTCCCAAATTTAAAGACCCAATCCAAAAATGGGGACCTGAAATTAACAGACATTTCTCAGACAAAGAAGTAGAAGTGGCAAATAAACATATGAAAAAATGTTCAACATCACTGGTCATTCGAGAGATGCA